GGTACAAACAGAAAAAGACTGAGCGGGCTGCCAGGAGAAAGCCTCCTCTCTCAGAAAAGTTCGAAAGAGCAAAGCGGAGATGTTTGGCCATAATGCACAGCTCCACGTTTGGAGAAAACCTAACACCTCATACAAATTGTCAAGCGAGGTGGTGGAGGGGTGACGACTTGGTCTTGTTCTGCAGCCGCGGGGCCGGAGCGCCTTGCAGTCATTGAGCCAAACGTGAAAGTGTTTTAAAGTCAAATGCGAGACCGTCTATTGGACAGTGTATTAAGTCTTGGGGTGTACTTAGTTCTTCACATAATGCCTTCAATTGACAATGACGAGGTGAACTACGTCATATTATGTTGTTCGTCTCAGGTTTTATGTCCCTAATTTAAAGACGTTCAAAGGACATAAATATTTTTATTATATCCTGATATATAAAAGCTGACAGAGGGTGCACTTTCTTTCTTTTTAGACTGTCCTGCAAAACAGCAAATGCATTCTGCACCTGTTATTGTAAATCAATTTTAAGACAAGTTATCATCGTTTCTCGATATTTATCTTTTTATCTCTGTTTGTAATTCGTTTCTTTTCCTGCAAACATCATTATTGTGGAAGGAAGTAATGAACACTGTCTCGTGTTTCGTATTTTGTTTTTTTATTATTAATAAAGGCTGGTAACTAGGACACGTGTGCGAGTGCATGTGCATTCAGTCAAAGCCTGATTGATTTCTAACCTCAGGCGGGGAGATGCTCGCTTCACGTCGTCGGGCCTTGAAGATTTCATACAGAAACTCGTTTGTTTACACTAACCGGCGAGATGCTCGGCCAACAAATGGTAAAAATAAATAAATAAATGAAATAAAACAAAGTGGAGCGGTCCAGCTTTTGATAAACAGAGCGATTTGTGTTGCTTCAAAACAGGCGAGAGCTGAAACTCATCTCGCCTTGTGTTAACAGTTTTGAGTGAAAGCAGCGTGGTTCCCTTGGCGATGCTGCACTGTTTGCGTTGCTCGCTTTGCCTTTTCTCTACTTCTTTGTGTTTCTGCCGTGACCCACGGAAAGACAAACGCAGCGGAGACTTGGGGCTCGTCAGCTGTAGGAAGGATATGTGAAAATATGTTTGTTAAACTGAGGATAACATGACCACAAAGTGCCCTTGTTTTCTCTCGTCTTTTCTTCATTCTTATAACCTTTTTCCCATATTCGAAAACATTCCCTCCCTTTCTCTCTTCTGTTCTCTTTCCATCTGTTACTAATGTAACAGCTTTCTTACGCCTTTGTTTTTTCTTTTTCATAAATCCCGATTTTTGCACGTTTCACTACATTTAGTAGATTTTCTCCTTTACGTGCTTTTTGTCTTTTTTTTCCTGGAACTTCTTAATGTTTTCTTTCACATACAGAATAGTTGGTTTGTTTTATTAATTGTAGCTTGTAGTGTGTGATAACATTATCAGTAATATTGTTAGCAGAAAATTAAATTTAAGAAATTGAGTTAAGAAAGTTGGAACAGGGGACGCGCAGCCGCCTGCACACGAGTGCGGGGATATCGACTTACCCTTCACAAACATTTCCTCATACACCAAGCCCTCCCTCCTCTCACATTCACCCCTCTCTTTGGTTTTTTTATTATATTTATGGCCACAATCTTCATCAAGTAATCGCATTAGACAGTCAAACGTGTTAAAACACACATTTGAATAAAATGTCAGGTTATGACAGATTTGAATTTAACACATTTT